ACTGTCAGATAACCTATTTGCCTAAAATGATTCTTAATGTGCGCTCATTGTCCGTGACAGCTGTGAGCTCCGTGGTAACAGGTCAGCAACGTGAGCCGCTGCGGTTCTAGTTCTCACAGGGTTTATTATGATGTGACTAAGCGTGGTTTTTCTTCGTGTTTATTTTTCTCAGAGTTCCTAAAGTCTGAATTTTTGAGCTTGAGGTCTTTTGTCACAATAAAATCCTTTAAGTTTAGTTGCAAGGCAGTGTTACAGAGGAGAGACCTTGAATTTGCTGGTTCACTGTTCAAATAGCCACGATAGTTGGGGCTAGTCCAGGCTGAGGGCCAGAGCTAGGAACTCAGTCTGGGTTGGCCATGTGGGTGACATCATCAGACAGCTCTGTTGTCTCCCCAGGCGTGTTAGTAGTGAGCTGGATGGACGGAGAGCTGTGAGGACTCGAACTAGTCGTCTAAAGCAGGATCCGGTGTCAGTGGCTGTAGCTTTGTTTGCCATCCCACAACACTTTTTTTGTTTTCTAAAATTCTTGACTAGTAGCTGTTCTCCATCCAGCTCCCTATTTATGCCTTGAGAAAGTGGTAGAGGACGGCCCAAAGCCTTGGGACCCTGCATCCATGTGGGGGACCCAGAAGAGGCTCCTGGCTCTTGGCTTCAGATCAGTTCATCTTCAGCCATTGTGGTTCACTTGGGAAGTGAACCAACAGATAGAAGATCTTTCTCTTTGTCTCTTCTCTGTAAATCTGCCTTTCCAGTTTTAAAAAAGAAAAAGTCCTAATTGCTCTGCCCCGGTCTAGTTTCTCACCAAGGCATCTGGAGAAGAGGTGGGACAGGGCCCAGATGACTGGGTTCCTGAAGCCCTTGTGGGACCTGCGTGGCTTCCCAGTTGCTGCCTTTGGCCTGGCCCACATCTGGCTGTTGAGCCATTTGGAGAGTGAGCAGGCAGATGGTAGGTCTATTTCTCTCTCTTACCCTGCTTTTCAAATAAATCTTTTTTTTTAATATTTTATATTTATTGCAGTCAGATATACAGAGAGAAGGAGAAACAGAGAGGAAGATCTTCCATCCCATGATTCACTCCCCAAGTGGCTGCAATGGCTGGAGCTGAGCCAGTCCGAACCCAGGAGCCAGCAGCAGCCTCTTCCAGGTCTCCCACACGGGTGCAGGGTCCCAAGGCTTTGGGCTGTCCTCAACTGCTTTCCCCAACCACAAGCAGGAAGTTGGATGGGAAGTGGTGTTGTCAGGATTAGAACCAGTGCCCAAATAGGATCCTGGCGCATGTGTTGGGCCCCATTTTTCTTCTTTTTTTTTTTAAATTTTTTAATGCTATGTTATGAAGGAATATTTTACGCTGCTTCTCAATCAAATCACCGGAGAACCAGCCCTGGTGCCTGAGGAGGCTCTCACCAGGCAGGCGATGTCGGGGAGGAAGTGTGAGGATGAAAGGGTGGTGGGAGGAAGTGTGGCCCAGCAGAGAGGAGGGGCCCGCGCCCAGCCCAGCCAGCTTCCTTCCTCTCCCTCCTCTGGCTCATGCCCACTCTACTCCGTGAAGATGCTGTGTGGTGGGAGGATGTGGCTCTCCACGCCCTACAGGTCCTTACGATGCCAAAAGGGCAAACTGGAAAGTTAATGAAAGAAAAAGCGAAGTCATGTTGGTCTGATGTCTCCCCAGACCCGTGTGTTGGGAACTTGAATCCAAAGCTGCGGAGCTCAGTGGGCCCAAGGGAGGAGTGGGGTGGCCAGGACCGTGGAGCAGGCCCCGAGTTCTGACAATGGTCAACTACAGGACAGACGCAGATGGAGTTACGCGCCATCTAGGCTGCAACTGCCTGCTTGACTTTCCGCCTGTTTGGGTGCAGCAGGAAGTTCCTCCAGAAGAGAGAGAGAAAGAGAGAGAGAGAGAATCTTCCATCCCCTGATTGACTTTCCAAATGTCTGCTATGGCCAGGGCCATGAGAATCCAGAAGCCGGAGCCAGGAGCTTCTGCCAAGTCTCCTACATGGATGTAGAAACCCAGGGACTTGGGCCCTTCTCCCCTGCCTTCTCAGGCACATGAGCAGGGAGCTAAATTAAAAAACCAAGCAAGTAAGCAAGCAAACAAACAGAACTGCTGGGACTCAAGATGGCACTCACGTGGGATGCTGGCGCCACAGGCAGCAGCCCTACCCTCTACACTCTATCAATGACTCTCCAAATAATTTTAAAGTTGGTAAGAAATTTAAAAATTAGGCTATGGAGGGGGCTTCTACAAAAAGTAGCAACCGCAATGGGGAAAAACTGGCAAAGAGGGTACAGACAAAGAGGTAACTCACAGGAATGGGAATTCAAAAGTAACAGCCATGCTATGAGGTGCTGGAGGGATCAGGAGCTGGGGAGATGCCAACGGAGTCAGGAAGTTACTCTTACCATGCAGCGAACGGTAACAACCTGAACACTGCGCATCACTTAGAGCCAACCAGGGAGGTGGACTCGCTGGTTCTACAAAGGCAGGCGTTTGGGCAGTTTTCTGAAGCTCTGATTTGCACCTCCCAGAAGTCACCCCCCTCAAGTGCCTAGTTCGGGGTGGGGTCACAGAGCTACGTGACCATTCCCACCACCACTGACCGTCCTTGTCCTTGTCCCCACCCCATCCCTGCTCAGCTTCCTGTCTGCAGCTTTGCCTTGTTGGACATTTCCTAGGAAGGAGTCACCTACGTTGTGGTCCTTTAGGACTGGCTGTTTCCCTTTTCTAAAGATTTATTTATTTGAAAGGCAGAATTGGAGAATTTCTTTCATCCTCTGGTTTAGTCCCCCGGTGGGCCAGTCTGAAGGCAGGAGCCTGGAACTGCATCTGTGCCTCCCCTGTGGGTGGCAAGGAGCCCAAGCACTTGGACCATTTTCTTCCACGTGTGGTGCCAGTTTTTGTTTATTTATTTAATAAAACTATTTATTTTTATTGGAAGGCAGATTAACATGGAGAAGGAGAGGCAGAGAGAAAGATCCTCTGCTGGATCACTCCCCAAGTGGCTGCCATGACCACAGCTGAGCTGATCTAAAGCCAGGAGGTTCTGGGTCTCTCACACAGGTGCAGGGTCCCAAGGCTTTGGGCCGTCCTCCACTGCTTTCCCAGGCCACAGGCAGGGAGCTGGATGGGAAGTGGAGCAGCCAGGATAAGAACCAGTGTCCATATGGGATACCTAGGGAACCACAGGCAAAGAATTAGCCTGTTACTCCACATGCCATGCCTATGATGGAAGTTTGACCTGCTGTGCCCCAGCGCCAGCCTCCAGCCCCCAGCGTAACAACTGCCCCATCTCTCGTCTCCCTCTGCTGGACCATAAAGGGTTCTGGACGCTGTTTATCTTAGCCTGGGTTGTCACAGTGGAGAATCCGGGGGCAAGTCAGGCTTTCTTGCCGGGAGAGTGGACAAGTCTTCAGGGGTTGAAGCCTGGCCACAGGGTCGGACATCTTGTATGGGGATTGGGTGGCTCATGGCTCTGTGGGCGGTTCCTGCGGATGGTGCTGGGAAACACAAAGAATGAGATGTATGATGGTGTTGTGCCAGTTTTTGAAATCCCCAGATAATCATCAAGTCTGAAGTCGGTGCTAAGGCAAAAAGGTGGTTTATTCAGGTTAGCCTAGGTAACCCAGCCACCTCCCCCAGCCCAGCATGGCTGGGCGGGGGAGGGGCAGCCGCAGCCGGGGCAGCCGCAGCCCAGGCTGCAAGGATCCACAAGGAGGACAAAAGAAGCGCAAGCCAGAAGAGCGAAGGGAGCCCAAGCCCCCCAGTTCTTATACATTTCAGGCTATTAATTATATAGTCATGACTTAGCAGGCTTCTATTGGTGGGCTTGAAACAAGCAACTTTCAAAAAGTACAAATTGATAAGCTATTGGGCTTATCAATTCCTCAACTCCTTTGTTTTTAACCCTTTTTTGTTTCCTTATCCTGCTTCTTTAGTCTTTACAGATGGGTCATCTAACAAAATAGTTTCTCTAATCATAGATTTTGAAAATATCCTTACTGACCAATGGAAAGAACACAATTTCCTCTTAAAATTTGGAGGAGGGAATGCTTTCATTTTTCCACAGGTCATGGACTTGCTGACGTGGATTCCTGATCGCATGAGGGGTCTCAACTTCTGGGCCACCGCAAACTTGGCCTTAACTTGAGCCCTTTCAGAGGCGATGCCACCCAGGACCCAGTCGGTCACCTTGCTCCTGGGCCTTATATAAAGGTGCCCTCACCTCTTTATGCCACCCTATTGGGGGACCATGATTCCAATACACGAAACACTCAGGGGTCAGCTCATGGCAGGACAGAGGGCCAGGGAGAGACAGGAAGCAGATCAGAGCAGCAGTGTGTGTCGGTGAGCCAGGGACACAGGAAGGCCAGAGCGAAGACAGGCGGCGGGCTGGACCTCGGGCAGCCAGGATGGTGCTCCTGCAGGGACACCTGCTCTGTTCCCGGCTGCTGCGGGCACATGGTCGGGTGGGGAAGGTGGAAGATGCAACAAGGCAGACGCCCGTCCGAGCGTGAAAGGACTGCTGGCCCCCAGACGTGGGGTCCCCCTGTGTTGGCAATGGAAGGGCCTCTGCTGCCAAGCCTCCTGGGCTTAGAGGCAGCTCCTTCCCACGGCTCCCCGCTGGTGGACACCGGCCTTGCAGAGCCCAGACGTGCGGGCCAGCCGAGCTTCTACAGATCTCCATGACCTTGATTCCTGCCAGGTGGGGTGTGTGTGTGAGGTCAGGGTTGTTAGCAGATGAACACCGGGACCAGGTGGGCGCAGGACTGGAGCTGGGAGGGGCAGGTGCGACTGGAGGTGACCTGGATGGCGGACACTTGGGGCTGCATACAGGTGACAAGTGCTCACTCTGAAGACTGAACACGACTCACTCAGGCCAAGGGGACCGCTGCAGGCGGCTCAGTTTTGGGGGAAACATTTCAAGAACAGAGATAGTGTTCGTTATTAAGGAAAAAAAAAAAGTTTTTTTTTTATTTGAATGTGGCTTTGGGGGCGGGGAGGGCAAGAGCTCCACCCCTACAGCTGCTGGGAGGGCCTGAGGATATAAAAGAAGTGGGTCTTCCGGGTCTGCACCCTGGGGCGGGGGATGCCCTGGGTGCCCTCGTCCGTGGCTTCCTCCCGGGCCTCTTCCCGGAGCCCGTCCCTGATGGCCTGCAGGCGGTGCCGCTTCTCGCTGAGCCAGGGGCCGCCCTCCTGGACGTCCTGGTGGGACCTGCGTCGCGGCAGCTTCATGATCCACATGGTCAGCCGCCACGGCCGGGGCTCCACGCGGAAGCTGTCCACCGCCTGCGGGGTGGGCGCCACGGCCTCCTTCTCCTCCACCTTAGGAACCTGGGAGTGAGGAAGAAAACAAGGAGACCCCCTCATCCTTCACACAACAGCCTTGGGGTGCCCAAGTCCCCGCTGGGCTGCTCAGGCCACTTTGCAGGTGACCCGGTGTATGGGGTGGGGTGGGACATAAGGCACTTTTGTGACTTGATTTACAATGCACTCAGGTTTGTGCATACTTTAGGATTAAAAGACTCATTACAAAGTACATTGGGATTGGAAAAAAATAAATCTTTGGGATTCCAAAAAGGAGGTACTGGTGGCGTGTGTTGGGGAGGGCAGTGTCGTGGAGCAGCAGGTCAAGCTACCGCCCCGAGAAATGGATGCCCCGGGTGTCCCAGTCGCAGCTGCTCCGCCTGCCACGCGGCCCCGTGCCACGCTCCGGAGCTGCCGGCTCCTGCCTTGCCCAGGCCTGGCCCTTGCGGCCATCTGGAGAGTGAACTGGCAGGTGATCAGCGTCACGCTTGTCATTCTGCTGCCTCAAACAAGTCAATCTTAACAAAAACAGACTGATTCACACAAAACAACAGAAAACTCGTGTTTGTGAAAGACACATTTTTAAAAAATGGAGGTATTCTCGAGAGAGTTCATGGAGAATATATGTTATGAAAAAAAAAAGTTAATTTTTTTGGGGGGGAGGGAGATATCAAGATAACTCATCCTTTAGTCCCGGTTTTCCATGGCGCCAAGCCCTGTCGGGATGACACAGCCCTTTAGGGTTAAGCGCTCAGAGGTTCACAGAGCAGCCGAGTATACAGGCAAGCTGGACTCAAAGCAGCAGCCGACGGGCAGCGGGGTGGGGTGGCTGGTCCAGTGGTTAGGATGCCTGTTTGCACATCACGGTGCCTGGGTTTCCGCCCCAGGCCTGACTCGAGTCCAGCTTCCGGCTAAGGAAGAAGCTGACCGTGGGAAGGTGATGGCCCAGGTGGCTGACTTGATGGGGCCCAAGCTGACCAAGTGCAGGGAGGGTGTTGGGGGAAGTGGAATGGCAAATAGATCTCTTAGTTTGTCTCTTTCTGTGTCTCTGCTTTCACACACGCAAATATATATATCTACGTTCAAGGACAGCTTTGAGTCAGGTGGGAAACTTCAACCCCCCAGGCCTGCGAGTCTCTCGGGTCCGACTATTACTCAGAGCTGTAAGCCGTGGTGAGGCAGCCCAATTCTCACTTCTCTGCTTCCCGCCCACGCACATCTCCTGGGCACAGCCAGTCCTTCTCACCAGCTGAGGCCTGAGGCCGCCTGGGCCCTGGGCACCGGGTGGGTGGACTTGGGGGGCTTTGTGTCCACCTCGGATTCCTCAGAGGTGGGTACTGTTGTGCCCGCCAGGGGGCGCCAGAGGCAGTCACTTGGGAAAGAGGTGAAGGCTCGGTGGGTGCCAATGGGTGCCAGGAAGCCCTCTGTGGGTGCTGGTCAAGCCCTGCCCACCTGGGGATGGGCTCATTCCTTCCGAGAGCTCCAGCTCTGAGCTGGGGACACTGAGGGTCCCCCCTCTTCCCTCCTGGGCAATGGGCGAGTGGGGTGGGCACGCTCCAACCTTCCAGTCGCCATCCAGGCCACCGTCCGGCTCGATGGAGGACTCCATCTTCTCGGAGATCAGCACGTTTCCCGTATTGTTGTCCGTCACCTATGAGGTGGGGGTGAGCCCTTGAGAGCCGAGGACCCCGACCCCCCGGGGACACCCCAGCAGGAGGAGGGCGGGGGCGCACGCACCTTGTCGATCTGGAGGTGGCTGGAGAGGGTGCTGTTGCCCAGCCGGTGCTCCCGGCTCTCCTCTTGGTGGTAGTTCTTGGGGAGGTTCCGCAAGTCCACGGGCGAGGAGAAGAAGCTGTCCAGCCCGCGCAGCAGGTCATGCTAAGGCGGGAGGAGGGGCTGCGGGCTCACCCTTGGGGGCTGACCTGCTGTCCAACCCCGCTCCCCGCCTTGCTCCTCCTCTGTTCCTGCCCCCTTCTTCCTGGGTCACCCCCTCTCTTGTCTGCCCTGTTTGTTCCCCTGCTCCCAGCCCAGGCTCACTCACTCACTTTCAGGAAAAGTCGGCTGAAGCCTTGGAGAAGGCTCTGGAGGCCCAGAAACCCCGTGGAGTTCTCCTGGGAGTCACTGTCGCCAATGGGGGCGGACAGGGCGCAGGGCAGCAGCAGGAGGACCAGCCGGGCCCACATGGCTGGGCAGGCGCGCAGGCTGCAGCCGGGCCCGGGTGTCAGAACCGGGGACCATGTACCCACCTCTTGACGCCCCATTCCCGGGCTCTGCACCCTACGAGCCCCCAGCTCTCATCCTCCCTGTACCCCCTCACCTCTCATCCCCTCCAGCACCCCAACCTCTCACCCTCCCCTCCCCACCCCCCACCTCTCACCCTCCCCTCCCCACCCCCACCTCTCATCCTCCCTCTCCAAGTCCCTTTTCATCTCCTCCCTCCACCCCAGGCTGCCAGACTCATCTTTTCCCTGGGTTTTTGCCCCACTTCATTCCTCACCTTCTAGCACATTCGTACCCCAGACTCGTGCTCCGCTCCCACGCTCCGCCCCCTCTCCCGGGCTACGCCCCCCACACCACAGCCTGGGTCACCAGGCCCACTCGATCCGGCCGTCCGCGGACTGTTGGATCCCAACAGCGCTGCTGGCCGGCCGGGTCCGCGTGAAGGAGCGTTGGGCGCGCGGCGACGCCCGCATTGTCCCCTCACACCCCCAACAGCTGACCTCACGCGGGAGCCCTGTCCGTCACCGCAGGCCACGCCCACGGGGCGGGCTCTCCGCTAACCACGCCCCCTCCCCACCCACGCCCCAACATCATACTCCCTGGACGTCATACTCCCATCAGACCTCGCCCCCATCGCCATGGAGTCGGGGTGCAGCCAGTTACACCGCACCTGCAGCACTGATGTTCCATCAGGATAGCGGTTCAAGTCCCAGCAGCTCCACTTCCTACCCGGCTCCTTGCTAATGCGACTGAAAGGAAGCAGGTGGAGAGAGGCACAAATGCTTGGATCCCTGGACGGAGCTTCAGCCTGGCCCACCCAGGCCACTGGAGCCATCTGAGGAAGGAGCTAGAGGATGAAAGATCTCTAATTGGACCAGCTTGAATGCTTTCTTCTTCTTTTTAATTTGATACTTTTTACATAGTTGATTAGGGCTCAAAGGGTCAAGGGCTACAAGAAAGTGGGTAAGACCATTGTTTCCATATTCTCTTTTTTCCTTGCTGTATCTGGGGGACAGAGGAAGATGAAGGGAGAAGCCACACCCACCCTGCCAACCATCCCAGGGTCCCTGACGTGGGGCATGCTCCCAGGGCACTGCTCAAGTGGTTTTGATAGTTTAGCTGTTCTGAATTGCTGCCGATCTTGCCATTCCAAGCAAGATGAAATCTCTCCAGAATCCACTGGCTGACATAGTTCACTTTAGTGTCTCTACTTGCCCAGATTTTCACAGCCAACACTTGGCTGGGGTAGTCAATCAATGTGCAGCTTGAACTCTGTCATCCAAGTCTCCCACGTGGGTGGCAGGGCCCAGCAACCAGAGCCGTCCTCCACTGCCTCTCCTGGGCACCTTAGCAAGGCAGCTGGATGGGAAGTGGAGCAGCTGGGACTCGAACCAGCGCCCATATGGGATGCTGGCACCGCAGTCAGCAACTTCACCCCCAAACTTCAATCTGAGCCCCCCAAATTAAATCTTAACATTAAATAACTTACCATTTTAAAAATTTTACTTATTTTTATTTGAAAGGGAGATTTATAGAGAAGAAACAGATCACCCATCCACTGGTTCACTCCCCAAGTGGCCACAGTGGACAGAACTGGGCCACTTCAAAGCCAGGAGCCAGGAGCCTTCTTGGGATCTCCTACAGGAGTGTAAGGTCCCAAGGACTTGGGCCATCTTCTGGGCTTTCCCAGGCACATCAGCAGGAAGCTGAGTTAAAGAGGAGCAGCCAGGATACAAACCAGCGCCCGTATGAGATGCTGGCGCTTGAGGTGGAACATTGGCCTATGGAGCCACCCCGCTGGCCCCTTTAAAATGTATTTAAAGATGGAAAAGGCAGACAGCTGGTTCACTCCCTTGTTGTACGCCAGTCAGCCAGGGCTGGACCAGGAGGACTGGGCAGGTGAACGGATCACCTTCTGCCTTTCCCGGGAAACCTGATCCGTGGGAAGAGGCCCCAGAACTCGGGCCTGGCTTCCCCATGGCTGGTGACCTCGCCGAGCCCCCAGCCTCGTCCACCTCGGGCGCTCCAGGGGCGCCATCACAGCGCGGCGGGGTCCACGGATCCGGGCGCTGGCCCCGCCCCTAGACAGCCCGGCCCCGCCCTCGCCCCACCCACCCGGGGCGGCCTCACCGCGGATCCGAGCACTGGCCCCGCCCCTAGACAGTTCGGCCCCACCCACCGCGGGGCGGGGTCCGCGGATTCTTTCGCTGGCCCCGCCTTCGGTCCCACTCACGCCCCGCCCCTCTAAGGGTCTTGGGCCCAGGGTGCTGGCCCCGCCCCTTCCCGGTAGCTCCGCCCTTGGCCCCACCCCTCACCCTGTCCGGCCCATCCACGTGGCCCCGCCCCTCGTCCGGCCCCCTGCTCTCCGCGCGCTCCGGAAACGGTCCCGCCTCGCTCGCTCCCTCTGGAGTTGTGGGTTGCTCCCACGTGTCCCCTCCGCTGCCGCTTGGAAAACCCGGCTCTCCCCGGAATCCCCGAAAACCCTGTCCCCTGTCCAGGAAGGAACTCGGAATCTGGGCTCCCTCTTGAACTCCAAGCCCTTTTGTCCTCCAAAGGGTCAGGAGTTCGAGACCTGGTCCCCGTGCCCCGCATCAGCCCCTCGCAGGCGCGGGGCTCCCTCCCTTGGCACAGTCGCCCCTAGTCATGTGCATTCGGGAAGCTGCGCTTCTGGGGGGAGCTCCCCAACACCTTGTCGGGGTGTGTCCACTCCGCTGAGGTCACACGGAAGCCACGTCGCCAGCGGAGTCCTTCGGAGCCCACCCCTACCCCCCAACCCTCAAACCCACTTTGGGGGCGCTGCACAAGTCGTTTGCTGTTTGCATCCAGCCCCCGACTTCAGCTCCTTGCGCGCTCAGAGCCCCCCAGCCCAGCCCCTGGCCCCGCAACACCTTCTCCCTCCAAGAGGTCCCCCCAATTCCCTGCAGCCCCCCGAAAGTCTTCACCTCTCCCTATGCAAAAAAAAAAAAAAAAATCCCTCCCCGGCCCGTGGCCGCCGGGCCCGCCCCCCCTGCGGTCCCTCCCACTTTTCCCAAACAAAGCTCCCGCAACTTTCTCCCCGGCCGCGCCCGGGCCGCCGCGGCTTCCCTGCCCCAGGCCGGGAGGTAGGAGGGCGCGGGCGGGAGCCGGGACCCCAGTCCCGGAGGGTGCGGGGAGCTGGGCTGGGGAGCTGCTGCACCGCTGGCCCCGCACACCCGCGCGCCTGCAACTTGGGCCGGAGTTAGGGTGTCCAGGTCGCGGTGGACGGACAGGGAGCGCATGGGTGTGCGCGTGGGATGCGCGGGCTCCGGTCGGTGGACCAGGGGTGCGGGGCAAGGGGTCCTCCCTGGATGCTCTGCCTCGTCTATTGGGGGGCCTGGGGCGTGGGGCGGGACTGGAGTGGAACATTGCTCACCCCGCTGCTCCGGCCCTTTGTCTGGCCACATGGGGAGGGCGATGAGGAGGAGGGCTGGGCTGGGATTTCGGCCTCTCGGGGGTGGGGGTGGGGGTGGCCAGAGCGCCACCCAGGTTGGGCCTTGGGGGGGGGGGTCTTTGCCTGGACTCGGGGGGTCCCAGGGTCCGAGGGAGGAGGGACCGAGGTCCTCCTGCATGGAGGACACGGAGTCGCCGGGGGAGGCGGGACCTCTTGTTGGGGGGGGGGAAAAAAAGTTTTCGTCGTTCCCGGCCTCCCGGAAAGTGGCTGGGAACTTGGATCCGAGCCCGGGCCGCGGGGGAGGGGCGGGAGGGCGGGGCGGGCCGGCCCCTCCCCCGATGGGGGTTGTGGGAAGCTGGGGGAGGGGACGCCTGGGCCCTTTGTTCTGGCTCTCGGATGCGGGCGCCCCTGCCCCTCAGCCTGCCCGGAGGACTTTCCTGGTCTTAGCCTCAGCTTCGGCCCTGGGACTCCGTCTTCCCGTCTCGGGGTCTCCGTTGCGCCCACCCCCATCTCACTGTGGGTCAGTCCCCCCCTCCCAGCCGTCTCCCCTCCGCCTGCCCTGGCAGCTGCTGCCCGCGTCCCAGCACCTGTTCTTGGGGGGAGCACCGGGGCCTTGTCACCCACGCTGCCACTTTGCTGAGTGCCGAGCCTGTCTGCTTTACACCCAGTCCTTCACTCAGCAAAGTGGCAGTATGGGCGTGGGGGGATGGGGTGAGGGGTTGAGGCAGGGAGGGCTCAGGGACGCCCTCTGGGGTATTCACCACTTCTGTCATGCCAACTTTCTTCTGGAAACTCGGATAACATTCTGACCCAAGATTTCCTAGTCAGCCAGCTGCCCGGCTCTTCCCTTCACAACCAGCAAGAGCCGCAGCCTCTCCTTCCTCAGACTCAGGGGTCCAGCCCTTCCTCCCTCCCACCCAGGGGTCCAGCCCCTCCTCCCTCACACCCAGGGGTCCAGCCCAGCCCCTCCTCCCTCACACCCAGGGGTCCAGCCCAGCCCCTCCTCCCTCACACCCAGGGGTCCAGCCCCTCCTCCCTCACACCCAGGGGTCCAGCTCAGACCCTCCTCCCTCGCACCCAGGGGTCCAGCCCAGCCCCTCTTCCCTCACACCCAGGGGTCCAGCCCAGCCCCTCCTCCCTCACACCCAGGGGTCCAGCCCCTCCTCCCTCACACCAGGGGTCCAGACTCCACGTCCCCGGTTCCCAGTCCCTCAGAGGGGTGGTGGGGTGGAGGGGTGGTGGGGTGGCAGTGGAGAGGTGTTGGGGAGCTGACTGAGATCTGTGTTCCTCCAGGCCCAGATGGGGGAACCCCGGGCCGGGGCCCCCCTGGATGATGGCAACGGCTGGACGGGCAGCGAGGAAGGCAGTGAGGAGGGCGCCGGAGGCAGTGAGGGCGCTGGGGGAGACGGAGGCCCTGATGCCGAAGGCGTGTGGAGTCCGGACATCGAGCAGAGCTTCCAGGAGGCCCTGGCCATCTACCCGCCGTGCGGCCGCCGCAAAATCATCCTGTCCGACGAAGGCAAGATGTACGGTGAGTCTGTCCACCATGACCTTGTCGGCGCCCGGGGCGTGCTGGCGCTGGACGTGTCAGCAGGGAGCCCAGCTCATTATATTCTTGGGGAGCCTGCTGCTGCTGCCTGATACCCCATGGAAGTGCTGCTGGAGATCTAACTCACTTTTCTCCTCTTCAGGTCGGAACGAACTGATCGCCCGCTATATCAAACTGAGGACGGGGAAGACGCGCACGCGCAAGCAGGTCTCGTGGCCGCCCTGGGCAGGGGCAGGTCCGGCCTGGAGGAAGACATTGTTTCTGTGCTTCGGTCCCTGTTTGGGGGTCTCCTAGCGCCGACTGCCTGCGCCTGCTTTGCGGTTGTGTTGCAAGCAGAAAGTCAGATGGCCAGACCAGAACGGGGTGGTGGCGGCGGGTGGGCAGGAGGCCTGAGTTGCTGGGGCGATTTGTGGTGCCAGCAGAATCACGGGCAGCTGTGTGTGTTCACCGCTGAGTTTGTGTCTTCCGGAGAGCTTGGCTTTGCTCTGTTTGTCACCCGAGACACCCCAGCAGCGCCGTGGGGCCCCGGGGGGCAGGGAGGGGTAGGGGACACCCGCAGTTGTGCCTGAGTCTGTTGCTTTGCCGGACAGGTCTCTAGTCATATCCAGGTTTTGGCCAGAAGGAAGTCCAGGGAGATCCAGTCCAAGTTAAAGGTAAGGAGCAATGAGTTCCGAGAGAGGACGGGACCCCAAGTGAGGGACAGACCGGGGGGGGACACAGACCCAGAGATGGGGACAGAGACCGGGGGGGGGGGGACACAGAGAGAGAGGGACAGAGACGGGGGGGGGCAGAGACCCAGAGAGAGGGGGGCACAGAGACTCAGGGTGGGAAAGAGACCCAGAGAGAGAGGAGGGACAGAGACCCAGAGAGAGAGGGACAGAGACCCAGAGAGAGGGGGGGGGGGACAGAGACCCAGAGGTGGGGGTGGGTAAGAGATGAGACCCCGAATAGGGAGAAGGAGATGGAGGGGCAAATGGAGTCTGGGGTTGCTGAGTCCCCCAGAGATGTGGGCAGGGAGATACTGACATGGAACTGGGGAGTCGCTGGGACCCCGGAGGCAGGTGAGGGTGCTGGATGGGGCCTTAGCTTGGGACCAGTGAGGAGGAGGGGTGTGGGGGCTGGTCCCTTGTCACCCTGCCTTCCTGGCCATCTGAGTCTTTTCATGGCGCGGGAGCCTCTGCCTCGGGCTGTTTGTGCCTGGCATCTTCCCTTCCTGTCCAAGCTTGTCACAGCCATTTGCGTTCCTCCATCCGCTGGCTGGACTTCCTGTGCCCCATGGCCAAGGACCCTCCATGCCTCGGCCTGTCCGTGCCTTCTCATTTTTCTTCCCTTTAATTCCCTGAGGACTGGCTGCCTCTCTTTTTGGGTACCACTCTGGGCCCGTGGGGTGGCGGGGCCTGTGAGGAGTGGGATGGCAGGGCAAGCTCAGGCCTTGCTTCTTAAGTGTGTTTTCTTTCATCCTCTGGTGCCCTTCCCCACTCCCGCGGGCAGGCCCTGAATGTGGTAAGTCCCCCTGCCCATCCATCCACCTGCCCCATTTCTGAGGAGACCAGGAGAGCTGGGAGGTGTTGGGAAAGGGGGTGCTTAGCCCCTCACCTTGGCTGCCCTGCCACATCCCTGCGCACCCCTCCATCCCTGCCCTGCCCCCACTGCCCTGCCCTTGCTGAGCGGTCCCAGGCCACCCCGTTCATAGAGGTGTCTCACTCTCCCTACCCCCCCAGGATGAGGTCTCCAAGGACAAAGCTTTCCAGACAATGGCCACCATGTCGTCGGCCCAGCTCATCTCAGCCCCTTCCCTGCAGGCCAAGCTGGGCCCCACGGGCACTCAGGTGGTTCGGGCTGGGGCTTGTGGGCCTGGGGGTGGGAGGAGGGACGCCGCCCTTGGCCTGAGAGGACTAATTCTCTCCTCTGCCTCCCTTCTTTGTCCCCCCATCTCCCTTCTTCATCTCCAGACCTCAGAGCTTTTCCAGTTTTGGTCAGGCGGCTCTGGGCCACCCTGGAATGTTCCAGAGTAAGTACTTAGCATCCTGGTTCAGAGTCTGTGTCCTTCCCCCCCCCCCCCCCCCATCTCCCCATCACAGCCAGCTCCCTTTTGAAGATAGGTTCTGGGGCCAGGAGACCTGGAGTGAATCCCAGCTATGCCCTATCCTGTGCTAGGCATGGGTCTTTGGGTAGGTGACTTCTACATTCAGTGCCTCAGTTTCCCCACATTGCCCTGCACCTGGCCAGGCAAGCACTTATTGAGCCCCTTACAAGTGGTACTCACTGTGGGGGTAGTCAGAATGTTGGAGAAGAGGGGAGAAGCCAGATACTAAACAAATAAGAACAGATAAGAAATACATATGAAAAATAGTGGATTGAGGGCTATCTTAAAGATTTCCTCGAGCGAGCGAGAACTCCTGTGTGCTGCCTGCAGTGGCTGGCTGGCAGTCCACATCCTCACTGCCCACTGCTGCCCCTGAGGGGTCTGCAGTAGCTGGAAGCTGCAGTCAGCGACCGGAGGCAGCCATTGAGTCCAGGCACGGACGTGGGATATGAGTGTGGACCGCCCTGGGCTATTTTACTTTATTATTTTAAGACTTACTTACTGTTATTAGAAAGGCAAATTTGGAAAGATCTTCTGTCTGCTCTCCAAATGGCTGCAACAGCTGGAGCTGAGCTGATCCAAAGCCAGGAGCCAGGAGCTTCTTCCGGGTCTTCCACACGGGTGCAGGGTCCCAAGGCTTTGGGTCATCAACCTCTGCTTTCCCAGGCCACAAGCAGGGAGCTGGATGGGAAGTGGAGCAGTTGGGATACAAACCAGCACCTATACGGGGATCCCAGAACTTGTAAGGGGAGGATTAGCCAATTGAGCCATTGTATAGTGCCCATTGCTATTTCTTTTCTTTTTTCCTTAAATTATTTTTTATTTGAAAAGTAGAACACAGAGCAAGAGCTTGGAAGCATTGGTTGATTTCTCAAATGGCTGTGGTAGCCAGGTCTGGGGCAGGGAAAGCCAGGAGCCAGGACCTCCTTCTGGGTCTCCCACGAGGTTGTCAGGGAGGTAGAGGCTGAGCTGCTTAGAGCATCTGCTGCTTCCCAGCGTGCACCTTCGTGGGGACCTGGATTGGAAGTGGAGCAGCTGGGACTAGAACTGGCACCCCTGTAAGATGCTGCTGTCTCAGGTGGAGGGTTGGTCTGTTTAGCCACTGGTCATGTGTTGTCTCCCAGCGTGCACCTTAGCGGGAAGCTGGTGTGGAGGTAAAAGTGGAGCTGGATCCCAGGCATGCCATTTGAACACATTTGGCTCAAGCTGCTTCTTGCCTGCCTGTCTTTCTTTCTTTCTCTCTCTCTCTCTCCCCCTCCCTCCCTCCCTTCCTTCCTTTTGACAGAACATCTTTCTAGCTTTTCCATTTGCTGGTTCACTCCCCAAATGGCTGTAGCAGCCAAAGCTGAGCTGATCTGAAGCCAGGAGCCAGGAGCCTCGTCCAGGTCTCCCACACAGGTGCACGGTTCCAACTCCTCGGGCCGTCCACTGCTTTCCCAGGCCACAAGTAGGGAGCTGGATGGGAAGTGGAGCAGCCAGGACGTGAACTGGTGCCCATAGGGAATGTCAACACTTGGAAGAGGATTAGCGAGTTGAGCCATTATGCCTGCCCCAGGCCGGGATGTTTTCTTCCCATCTCCTGGCCAGTCCGCCTCCCCCCGCCCCCGCCTCCCTGCGTTGCTCCTCCGTCGAAGCCAGGGTTGAGCTCCTGGGGTTTGTGGTGGGTACTGATCTGGGTACCAGCCCCGGTTCCCCAGTACTCTGGCTCTGCAGGCTTGAGCAGGTCAGCTTCCCGAGTTCCCCAGCTGCCCGTCAGTGAGAGCAGACAGCGGGAGCTGTACCTGCCCCGCTTGCTGGCTGTGACACTCGGCAGGCGGCGCCAGCACGGGGCCTGCGTGTTGTGGCACCGTCCTGCCTGCCTGACCTCTCCCCGTGCCCCCGCATCCTCTCTCCCTCAGCGTGAAGCCGTTCTCGCAGCCGCCGTTCTCCTTGTCACTGACTCCCCCAGCTACGGAGCTCCCAGGTGAGAGCCTGTCTTCCACTCTCGCTTGCCTCCCCACTCTGCTCTCTCCTCACCCCCAAACTGCTTTCCTTCACTTTGCCACTAAGCAGGGGATGTGTTCTCCCTGAGGCCCAGCTCCGAGGCAGGAGCGGAGGGTGAAGGGCAGGTTCGACGCCTCGCCCGTGTAGCCAGACATGCCCCATGGTTGCATCCAGCCACTTATCAGGGTAGGAGCTACAAGGGAGCTTTAGCCACAAGGGATAGGAATGATCCCAAGCTAGCTGGCGCCACAGAGGAAGAAGAAGGGGTGAAGAAAGAGGAAAAAGAAAAACACTTGTTGGTTCAAGTAATTGCTAGAACCGTGACATGTTCAGGCATGGCTGGCTCCAGGGCCCAAGGGTGCACCTGCTGCCGTCCGCGATGCTCTGACTCCCGTGCACGCTCTGCCCACCTGGCAGTCAAGATGGTCTCCAGCTCGTATGCCAATATGACCCTGTGAACACCTTGCTGAAATGGATTGGTGGAAGCAGGGGAGTCTGTAGCTCCTGCAGATTCCAGAGTAGGTCTCCTTTGGGCTGCAAGGAACAGAATAGCCTACAGCCTAGTCGAGGCTTTACTCTGCACGGGCGCGGGACCCGCTGTTGGCGGAGCAGCTCAGTCAGGGTGGGCTGGCAGCTCTGTGGGTCCCCTGGGCCTCTTCCGTCTTTTTGTTCCACATTGCTGCTCTGTCCTAAGCCAGGACCTGGCCCAGGCTCAAAACTTTCTCCTCCCCAAAGTTCTGTCTTTTTCATTCAGGATGAAACTCCTTCCCAGAAGCCCCCCAGCAGATTCCCCCTAACGTCTCATTGGCCAGGACTGTGTCACATGGCCAGCTCTAGCTGCAAGGGAGGCTGGGAAAGTGAGTATTTAGCTTTTTCAGCTTCTAAGTGGAGGCAGGCCAGAGAGAACGCTGCTTGGCTTATTCAAGTAAACGTTAGCAATTTTTTTTGTGGTTCTTGTTTCTTTCTGTGTCTCTAGGGTACGAGCCTCCTCAAGCCCTCTCGCCCCTGCCCCCACCTGCCCCTTCGCCCCCTGCTTGGCAGGCCCGCGCCCTGGGCACTGCCCGCCTGCAGCTGGTGGAGTTCTCGGCGTTTGTGGAACCGCCTGATGCCGTTGACTCCGTGAGTGAGACTTTGGGGACAGACCCTGGGGGAGGCCGGGGCCAAGAAGCAGTCGGAGCGCACGTGGAAAGGAGCCATTCCCAAGCACGAATCCCGGGTTGGAAGCAGCTGTCTGTCAGCTGGCGGGCCCGTCCAGCCGGGGTCTTTGACTCCCTCGGTTTGATGTGGACCCTGAGTATTTGTGTGTCTCTCGGGTCCCTAGATGAGGGTGCTGCGCCACACACCGAGTCCCTTGAGCAGAGAGGAATTGGGAAGGTCACAGGTCATGCTTTGGGAAGCTCAAAGGAACGTGCCAGGAGACCGTGTTTGGGTTGACCCGGCTTAGTGAAGACATGGCAAAGTGGCTTTTATTTCGGATCTCAGCTTCTGCATGGGATGGGGACTAAAGCTGCGCCAGCCCGAGTGGGCTGACCATCAGGGACTCTGTCTGCTGGGGAGGCACTGGAGGACGGGCAGAGGGCCAGAAGGTGCTGGAAGTGTATGAGGTTTGCTCATTTCCCATTGGCCAGGACTAGGTCACGTGGTCAGCCCTCAGCGCTAGGCCGCCTGGGCAGTGTAGTTGAGTTCCATGTGAAGGCACTGGCGAGGGAGGACTTAACACAATCACTGCCAGTAGAGCCAAATGAAGTCTCCTTGTGGGGCACCTGCACCCGTCTGCCAGTGTCTGGGTTTGTGTCCTGGCTGTTCATTTCCGCTCCCAGCTTCTCCTGATGTGCCGGGATGGGGGTGCGGAGAGAAGGGGCAGCAGGGGCTGGCTCACACACTTGGTCCCTGCCCCTTCCTGTGGCATCCGGCTGCAGCCTGGCCCAACCCAGGCTAAGGTTGGTGTTTGTGGGGGTGAACCGAAAGCAGAGGGAAGCCCCTGCCCTTCAAAGGAAAAACGTGGCAACAACCCCTGCAGTTTGGGTCAAGAGCCCCCCAGCAGACCTAGAGTGGACACTGAACTGCGTAATCACCTCTCACCTCCTGCGCTCACCCCCACTCACCTGCTCTCATCTCCTGCCCTCACCCCCACCCACCTGCTCTCACCTCCTGCCCTCACCCCCACCTGCCTGCTCTCACCTCCTGCCCTCACCCCCACCTGCCTGCTCTCACCTCCTGCCCTCACCCCCACCTGCCTGCTCTCACCTCCTGTGCTCACCCCACCCACCTGCTCTCACCTCCTGCCCTCACCCCCACCTGCCTGCTCTCACCTCCTGCCCTCACCCCCACCCACCTGCTCTCACCTCCTGCGCTCACCCCCACCCACCTGCTCTCACCTCCTGCCCTCACCCCCACCCACCTGCTCCCACCTCCTGCCCTCACCCCCACCCACCTGCTCTCACCTCCTGCCCTCACCCCCACCCACCTGCTCTCACCTCCTGCGCTCACCCCCACCCACCTGCTCTCACCTCCTGCCCTCACCCCCACCCACCTGCTCTCACCTCCTGCCCTCACCCCCACTCACCTGCTCTCACCTCCTGCCCTCACCCCACCCACCTGCTCTCACCTCCTGTGCTCACCCCCACCTGCCTGCTCTCACCTCCTGCCCTCACCCCCACCAACCTGCTCTCATCTCCTGCCCTCACCCCCACCCACCTGCTCTCACCTCCTGCCCTCACCCCCCACCAACCTGCTCTCACCCCCTGCCCTCACCCCACCCACCTGCTCTCACCCCCTGCCCTCACCCCCACCCACCTGCTCTCACCTCCTGCGCTCACCCCCACTCACCTGCTCTCACCTCCTGCCCTCACCCCACCCACCTGCTCTCACCCCCTGCCCTCACCCCCACCCACCTGCTCTCACCTCCTGCCCTCACCCCACCAACCTGCTCTCACCCCCTGCCCTCACCCCCACCCACCTGCTCTCACCTCCTGCCCTCACCCCCACTCACCTGCTCTCACCTCCTGCCCTCACCCCACCCACCTGCTCTCACCCCCTGCCCTCACCCCCACCCACCTGCTCTCACCTCCTGTCCTCACCCCCACCCACCTGCTCTCACCCCCTGCCCTCACCCCCACCCACCTGCTCTCACCTCCTGTCCTCACCCCCACCCACCTGCTCTCACCTCCTGCCCTCTCCCCCTCCCACCTGCTCGAACCACACTGGCCTCCCTGCGTTCTCTCAAGCACGCTCGGCTTCGTCCTGCCTCAGAGCCCTCTGCTTTTAATGTTCTTTTCTCAGATAATCCCCGAAAAATTATCTATTTCTTTGTAAAGCAGAGTGATGCATAGAAAGGGAGAGACTCTCCCATCTGGTGGCTCCCTCTGCAGACAGCTGGGCCGGCACGCCCGGAGCCTGGAGCTCCATCGGGCTCTCCGCGTGATGGGTGGCAGCACTTGGGGTCATTGTCTGAGGCCTTTCCAGGCACATGGGCACGGGAGCAGTTGGACTGGAACTGACACTCGAGTGCTTGATGTCTGTGTGACACGCAGCGGCTTAATAAGCCACCGTGGCGGCCCTGTTTGTAATCGTTGTGTCACTGCAGTAGACTGCACTCTGTTAAGTCGAGGACGTGTCTTGTATGGCTGTTCAGTCCTGCGCACAGGGCCTCCCTGTGGCTCTCAGTGAGCTAATGGGCCTGTGCTGGGTGGGGACCGGCACGGTGTGTGGTATCCAGGGGAGGAACTCTCTGGAGGAGTGAGTGGGGCTTTGAGGTTTCTGTATGAGTTTGCTGTGTGCAGAATTGGAGGCTTCCCATGTTAAGCCAGTCAGGAGATACATCCCTGGATGTGGTTCAGGTGGGCAGGCATTGGTTCTGGGGGGGAAGGTCCCAGACTTTTTTCTTAGGGGTCTTGGGGAGCCTTGGAGAGGTGCCATCTGGTTGTGCTCCAGGAGGGCTTCTGGGAAGGGGCATATTGGGGTGAGCTTGGACCTGGAAATACAGAGTGGCTTGTCATCGTCGGAGAAGATGGAGCAGATGGTGGGAGGTGTCAGAGTAGGACTGTAGGAGGGCTTGGCTGCGGGTGGCGTGGATCCCCCATGGTCCTCCCAGCTGTGTACCCATCCGGCCTTCCTCTGTGTGTGTGCCGTGCCAGGGGCAGGTTGATGGGGTGTTGGCTCCGTTCTGGAGGTGCTGGGGAGCCACAGGAGGCTGTGAGCGGGTGTCAGCCTTGGATCCTGGGAGGGCGTGATCTGCAGGCTGGGAAGCCAGGGTTGGGACCCAGGCTGGGAGGGTGGGGGGGATGGCAGGAAAGGCTGAGCTGAGCTGTGCCTGGGTGGATGGGGAAGGGGCAGATAGTTGGGGAACTGAGGGGACGTAGGGTGTGCAGGGGCAGAAAGGATGAGGGGGCAGTGGCTGGAGCCTGATCCAGCACTGGGTGGAGTGCGGTGGGGTGGGCTCGAGCAGTGAGGGTTGAGGTCTGGTCCTGTGTTCCCTCACCTGTGGCTGTGTTGCCCCCAGTACCAGAGGCACCTGTTCGTGCACATCAGCCAGCACTGCCCCAGCCCCGGGGCCCCACCCCTGGAGAGTGTGGATGTTCGGCAGATTTACGACAAGTTCCCGGAGAAGAAGGGCGGCCTGCGGGAGCTGTACGACCGTGGGCCCCCCCACGCCTTCTTCCTGGTCAAGTTCTGGGTGAGTCCCAGCGGCTGCTGGTCCATCACACGCCATCCCAGTGGAGGTCTCGGCCTTCATGGACATCACTGGTCCTCACAGCTCTGAGTGGCAGCTTCCCCCAGCACACCAGCCAGGGCATGCTCCCCGGGTTCTGGAAAGTTCTGGTTCCTAAAGGAGAAGTTACAGCTTTGCTGCCTTCTTCTAGACCCTGCCGCTTTGAGGAAGTGGCTAAAGGAGATGGCAAGTGGCCTGGGGAAGGCCCTTGTGTGTCCAACATTTCCTATGGACTAGCCCCGTGAGTACCGGCTTTCCGCAGCCACAATCCCACACCTGCAGCCTGAGTCAAGGCACGGGGTCGTCCAGGCTTTTGCTGTTTTTGGATGCCTTGTCCTTGTCCTTTGCCTGGACTTTGTGCATCTCATTCCTGTTGAGTTAGGTGTGAGGAGCCCCCTGGTGGTGGCTCAGGTGCACTGCAGAACACGCGTGGCCAGAGGCCAGACTGCTGGGTTTCTCAGAGGAAGTTTGAGTTCTTTGGGTTTGGGAACCTTGGAGGGTCAAGAGGGCCAAGCATTTTCCTTTTTCCTTTTTTTAAAAGTTAGTTATTCTGGGCCCGGCGTGGCAACCTAGTGGCTAAGGTCCTTGCCTTGCATGCACCGGGCTCCCATATAGGTGCCAGTTCTAATTCCAGCTGTTCCACTTCCCATCCAGCTCCCTGCCTGTGGCCTGGGAAAGCAGTGGAGGACGGCCCAAAGCCTTGGGACCCTGCACCTGCGTGGGAGACCTGGAGGAGGATCCTGGCTTCAGATCAGCTCAGCTCTGGCCCTTGCGGCTACTAAGGCTGAACCAGTGGACAGGAAAATCTTTGTCTCTCCTCCTCTCTGTATATCTGCCTTTCCAATAAAAATAAATAAGTCTTAAAAAAAAAAACCTTAGCTATTTAAAAAATAAGATTTGTTTACTTTTACCTGAAAGGCTGATTTAGACACACAGACAGACAGAAATATTCCATGTACTGGTTGACTCCCACATGGCCACAAAGGCCAGAGCTAAGCTGATCCAAGGGCCTCTTCCAGGTCTTCCACATGAGTGCAGGGCCCCAAGCACTTGAGCCACTTTCTGTTGCTTTCCCAGACATGTTAGCAGGGAGCTGGATGGGAAGTGGAGCAGCCGGGATTTGAACTGGCATGCTGGTGACACAGGTGGTGGCTTAGTGCGCTGAGCCCCCGTTGTGGGTCTTTTTTTTTTTTTTTATAAGATTTTTATTGCAAAGCCATATACAGAGAGAAGGAGAGATAGAAAGGAAGAGTTTTTGTCCACTGGTTCACTCCCCAAGTAGCAGCAATAGCCACAGCTGAGCTCATCCCAAACCAGTAGCCAGGAGCTTCCTCCAGGTCTCCCACGCAGGTGCAGCAGCCCAAGGCTTTGGGCCGTCCTTGACTGCTTTCCCAGGCCACAAGCAGGAAGCTGGATGGGAAGTGGAGCAGCCTGGATACGAACTAGTGCCCATATGGGATCCTGGTGTGTGCAGGGCGAGGACTTTAGCCACTAGGCTACCACACCGGGCCCCATCATGGGTCTTTCTTCAGCCAGTGCTAGCTGGGGCTCCCCAAGTCTTGAGTGAATGTTTGGGCCTGCTTGTAGAGGGTGTGGGTGCCTCTGGTCTCGCTGACTGTAGTGCACCCCAGGTGAGGCCCTGGTTTTTGGGCATGATTGGAGCTGTGTGGTTGAGGTCTTGGGCAGGGTTAGGGCATGAGACACCAGGCGTGGCCAGGCGTTAGGTCAGCAGAGAGCCACCTGTCCTGGGGCGGCTGGGACTGGGAGGGTCTGGTGAGGTCTTTTGGTCTTGCCGGCGTCCGAGGCCCTGTTGTCAGAGCGACGGGCGGAAGAAGCAGGCCTCTGGGAGAGTGACCTGGAAGAGGGGGGGCGATGGAGACCCCAGGCTGGGGGAGGGCTTGGACCGCAGGTGAAGCTTGCTCAGTTACTGGCCCCCATCGGGGGAGAGTATTTCAGAAAAGTCCCCTGGGGCCCCGTTGCTAGAGTGACACCTGTCCTGGTCGCTAAGGTCTTGAAGGGCTCCCCCCATTGCTAAGGAGTAGCTGTCTCCTAGGTAACCAGGCTGGGGGAGGGGCTGAAGTCTCGAGCTGGGGGCTTCAAGGGAACACAGTTGAATTACAGGCGCCTTTGCAGGGGGGGTGAGAGGGTGGGGGACCTGGCCCGTTTGCAGGACCCAGTGCTGGCGGGATGGTGTACGTCCTTGTGGGGAGCCCAACAGTGCCCCCTACTGTTGATGAAGCATTTCCCTTTTGAGCCACCTGTGCCTGCTTGTTGCCTAGGCCGACCTGAACTGGGGCCCGAGCGGTGAGGAGGTGGGGGCCGGCGGTGGTGGCGGCAGCGGGGGCTTCTATGGGGTGAGCAGCCAGTACGAGAGCCTGGAGCGCATGACCCTCACCTGCTCCTCCAAGGTCTGCTCCTTTGGCAAGCAGGTGGTGGAGAAGGTGGAGGTGAGGCCGCCGGGGCGAGCACTCAGGGTGGGGTACGCATGCGGGTTTTGCAGAGGGGTGGAGGGAGAGCTTTAGGGTGCGGGTTTAGACCTCCCCAGGGTTCCAAAGTCACAGGTTGGGGAGCCTTTCAGAACCGAAAAGTTAAAAAAATAAGTCCTGCAGGTTATTTGCAGGACAAGGGGGGTTCTGACGTCACAGGGCTCGTGGGGGCGTGGAGAAGTCCCTAGTTCTGACTCATGCAGCGTTTAGGGATATCTTGGGAGAATCTTTGGGGTCGTGGAGGGTTTCGGGCTTCCTTTCAAAGGATCCTGAGTTCGGGTCCCAGGATTCCTGACCCCATCTGTGGTCACAGTGGGTGGAGGGAGCGGGGCTCGGCTTCCGGGTTGGCTCCCACGTCTCTCAGCCACTGTCCACTGTCCAGACCGAGCGGGCGCAGCTGGAGGACGGGCGCTTCGTGTACCGCCTGCTGCGTTCACCCATGTGTGAGTACCTGGTGAACTTCCTGCACAAACTGCGGCAGCTGCCTGAGCGCTACATGATGAACAGCGTCCTGGAGAACTTCACCATCCTGCAGGTGCTGTGCCTGCTGCCCTGTGGCACCGCAGGGGTGAGGGGTGGGCGGGGCCACGGCCTGGTGCACCTGCAACCTGAGGGGGCGGGGCCATGGCCTGGTGCACCTGCAGCCTGAGGGGCGGGGCCACGGCCTGGTGCACCTGCAGCCCGAGGGGCGGGGCCACGGCCTGGTGCACCTGCAGCCTGAGGGGGCCAGGCCACGGTGACAGTGGGTGGGCAGGAGGGGATGAGGGCATGGCATTTGTGGGTAGGAGCAGGGTCGAACGAGACTCAGGCTCAGGTCCTGGGGTACCCTGCCCTCCATGTGGCTGCCACAGCTGGGCTACCACTTGGACGCTCCCCACAGCACACGGTGCTCTTAACCAGGACACTGATCAGTGGAGACCCCCCACAAAGGACTAGAGGGGGAAGGGTGGACACAATCTGGTTGGAGAACCCGGGTCGCTGTGATTGGGGAGCCTCAAGCAATACTAGCTCCTTCTCCTTCCAGCCTGAGAATGTGCTGTGGGCATCTGAGGTCCCTCACTGCCCACCCCCAGCCTAGGGATTAGGGTTGCCAAGGGACGCTGCCAGTTTGCTTTTCCCTTCCCCTGGGGCTCGTGCCTGGGGGGGGTCCTGGCACAGTCCCTCCCTCCCTTCTAAGCCATACCTCCCATATCCCCCAGGTGGTGACCAACAGAGACACCCAGGAGCTGCTGCTGTGCACCGCCTATGTGTTCGAAGTCTCCACCAGTGAGCGCGGGGCCCAGCACCACATCTACCGCCTGGTCAGGGACTGAGCACGCTCGTCCTTGGGAACGCCCCTCCTCGGTGCTTCTCACCCCTCCAACCCGGGACAGGGGGCTGTCATGGAAACGGGGCTGACTTCAGAGGCTTAAGCAACCCCTGGGGGTGTCCCCTAATACTACAGGGGACCCCAAGTCCTGGTCGTGGGGATGGTCAGGTCAGGCCAACCATGTGTGTGTGTGTGTTGTTGGGGGTCAGAAAGGACAGGTCCCCAAGGTCTGGACTGGAGACAGGAGTGAGACACCCCCAGGTACTATGCTGGCCCTTTGCCCCTCTCCCCACGCACCCCAAGATCAACTCTGAGCAGGAGCAGAGCCAGGTGGGCCCTAGAAAAATTTTTTTAATATAACAAGATATTTATAAGTGGGTGTCGGGGTTGCGACTTAACTGGGCAAGCAGTGGTGTGGGGGCCTCCCCACCTCACCCCCTAATCCTCCCACAGACACTGTGGGGAGGACTGTGTGTCTTCCTCCGCCTCGCAAGCTTTGTCGGTTTGTGTTCTGACAGAGGATAAAGCTATTTTACAAAAAAAAAAAAAAACCGCAAGGGGATTTATTTGAGGTTTGAGTGGGAGTAAAAAAATAATATTCTCGTGGGAGGCCAGAAGGGAGCGGGGGGAGGACGCAGGAAGCCCCTGGGTCCCGCGGGAGGGGAGACACGTGGGTCCCCGGGGTGCAGAGGCAGTGCGGGGCGCCCGCCCCAGGGGAGGCGCTCAGGGCACCTGGAAGGGCCGGGGTGGCGCTTTGGGGAGGGCCGGGCCCGGGGGTCTCGGGCGAGCGGGCCGCCGGCGCTGGGGGTAGACGTGGTCGAGGTTTCTGCACAGGAACATGGCCAGCGTCATGAAGCTGAGCTACGGGAGAGAGGAGACAGGGTGAGAGAGGCGGAGGTGACCGCATGGAGCCAGGGAACCCTGCCGTCCATGATGGAGGTGGCAGTGCCAGAAGCAGTCAGGCCGGAAGCACGCCCGCGGGCCTTTATTCTGTCTCCCTCTCCGCCTCGGCCTCCGGTTCTGCCTCCACCTCCGGCTGCTCCTCGTCTGCGTCCCAGAGCGGCCAGAGCCCCAGGCCCATGGGCAGGCGGCCCTGCGGGGCCTTGTCCCCCCAGCTGGGCCGGGCCCCGGCCCTGCCCCAGCCGCCCCACGGGCTGCTGCCCAGCGCGGCCAGGCGCCCTCCTCCGGCGACGCTCACGCCGAGCCCGGGGCTCAGGCCGGCGGCCTCGGCCTCTTGGGGCTCCGCTTCCCGGCGGACCGCCCAGCGCTGCAGCTTTAGGCTCAGGATCATGACACTCACCTGCCGGGGAGAGGGAGGGGAATTGCAGCCAATAGCAGGCGGCCTTCCGCTACCCGCGGCCAATCAGGACTCGCGGAGGCTAGAGTTTCCCACCCCCGGGGCCATCGGCAGCGAAGCCGGAGAGGGCACTGCGCGGGCGCCATTTAGGGCAGGACCGTGGGGGCGGCGCGGCGGGTCCGGTCACCTCGAGCAGGCCGACGGCCAGGCAGATGCCCACGAGGGAAATGAGGTTGCTTTCTAGCCAGTTCTTCAGACTCTGCGCGCAGCCCTGGCATGGAGGGAAGGGTACAGATGGAGTCCTGAGACAATCTCCTGCCCTAAGGCCCAGGCTCTCCTCCCTTCCCAGGCCAGGCTCCTCCTCCCCCTTTAAGCCCCTCCCTTCCCCAGCCAAGCTCCTCCCCTCCAGGCTCCTCCCCTCTAGATCTCCCATGCTCCTCCCTCTCTTTAAGCTCCTCCCCTCTAGGTCCTTCAGGCTCCTCCCTCCTCTCTTTAACCCCTCTCTCCCCTCCAGGATCCTCCCTCCAATCCTTCCCTCCCCCTCCAGGCTCTGCCCTCCTCTCTTTAAGCTCCTCCCTCCCCTCAGGCTCCGCCCTCCTCTGTTTAAGCTCCTCCCTCCGGCCCCTCCCTCCCCTCTAGGCTCCTCCCCAGCCCCTCCCTCCCCTCAGGCTCCGCCCTCCTCTCTTTAAGCTCCTCCCTCCCCTCAGGCTCCACCCTCCTCTCTTTAAGCTCCTCCCTCCAGTCCTACACTCTTCTCTAGGCTCCGCCCTCCTCTAAGCTCCTCCCTCTCTCTTTAAGCTCCTCCCTCCCCTCAGGCTCCACCCTCCTCTCTTTAAGCTCCTCCCTCCAGGCTCCGCCCTCCTCTCTTTGAGCTCCTCCCTCCAGGCTCCGCCATCCTCTCTTTGAGCTCCTCCCCCCTCAGGCTCCACCCTCCTCTCTTTGAGCTCCTCCCTCCCCTCAGGCTCCGCCCTCCTCTCTTTAAGCTCCTCCCTCCCCTCAGGCTCCGCCCTCCTCTCTTTAAGCCCCTCCCTCCAGGCTCCGCCCTCCTCTCTTTAAGCCCCTCCCTCCCCTCAGGCTCCGCCCTCCTCTTTAAGCTCCTCCCTCCAGTCCTTCCCTCCTCTCTTTAAGCTCCTCCCTCCTCTCTTTAACCCCTCCCTCCCCTCAGGCTCCGCCCTCCTCTCTTTGAGCCCCTCCCTCCCCTCAGGCTCCGCCCTCCTCTCTTTGAGCTCCTCCCTACCCTCAGGCTCCACCCTCCTCTCTTTAAGCCCCTCCCTCCCCTCAGGCTCCGCCCTCCTCTCTTTGAGCTCCTCCCTCCTCTCTTTAACCCCTCCCTCACCTCAGGCTCCGCCCTCCTCTTTTTGAGCCCCTCCCTCCCCTCAGGCTCCGCCCTCCTCTCATAAGCCCCTCCCTCCCCTCCAGGCCCCTTCCTGCCCGCAGGGTCCTGGCCCCTCGCGCACGTCGCGCCCGGCGCTGCCCACCTCCCGGTAGATGTCTTCGTTGGCCGGCACCACGCAGACGTCGGCGTTGTCCTTGGGCCGAGGCCGCGGCCCCAGCCGGCCGAGCTGCGGGAAGATCTTGCCCAGGACGGCTGAGTCGTTGGTGGCCGACGAGTTGTAGCAGGAGCAGGGCACGCGGCGTGCGTCGGACTCATTGCCTCTCAGGAGGACGACCCCAAACCAGTCGTGGGGCGAGTTCCAGCCGCAGCAGCGCAGCTGCAGGGGCGAGGGGCGAGGAGGTGGCGTGGGGTGGGTGGGTGCAGGAGCGGCCCCGGTGGGTGCAGGCCTGGCTGCTGTGGGGTGGGAGGGCCCGAGTGGGGGGCAGCGTGGAGCTTGTGGGGGCCGCGTTGGAGCTCAATTATGCGATCACCTGGCGGGGTGGGGCCGTGCAGGTGACAGCCGGCGGGGAGCAGGGCCCGACCCACTCACACACCTGGAACTGCACGTAGTCCCAGCTCTCCTCCGCCGCTGTCTCCTCTGGGTCGGCACGGTAGTTCTGGATGGTGCCCAGCACAATGTCCTGCACCTTCCGCTGCAGCTGAGAGGCCACGAGTGAGGCCCGGCCCGTCCCCTCAGCCCCGACTCCTACCCCTGTGTGCCTCCCGGGGGGGCTCGGCCTCACCCTCGGTGCCCACGTTTGCCTTTTTGGGCTCCAGGGTGGTGGTAGGGGTGGGGGGGCATGGTGCTAGCTCACCCGGACCCGCTGGGTGGAGATAAGGATGCCCAGCGTGATCTGCGTAGCAAACAGCAGCAGCAACATCCCAAAGTACTGGGGAGGGGGGAGACAGAATGGGGAGGGTCAGGCGGCCCCCAGCCCAGGGGCAGGAGGGGCTCGAGGGGGGTGATGGGGATGTGGAGGGGGCACTCACCAGGCCCAGGAGGCATCGCAGCTCCTTGAGGGCCCCCACGCAGCCCAGGAGGGCGAGGGTCATGGTGAAGACCCCCGAGAGGGCCAGGAGCATGGACCAGATCTGCAGGGGTACGAAGGACATGCCTGGGGGGGAGGGGAGAGCGGTGCTGGTGGGCCTCCTGCGCCTGTCACCCCGTCCCCCCTTGCCCGCCACCTCTGTACCACCCCCAGGTGGGGGCAGTTACAGGGTTGCGGGCTCTTGTGAGGCCATTGTTGGGGTCCCCCACCCCCAAGTCTGTTGTTTCTCTTCCCAGGCTGTCCTGTGTTGTCGCTCTCGCCGCCTCCAACTGCTCCATGCTCTCCCCAAATCCCCCCTCTGCCCCATGCAGCCCCGTTACTGGGCGCATTCCCCAGGAACCCACGTGGGGCCACAACCACATCCCCAGGGGCGGGGAAGGGGAGGCGTCTTTGCTGTGAAGGTTTGGGATTTGACGGTGGCTGCCTTGTCCCTGTCTTGAAAATCCTGCTGCTGCTGCTTCCTTTCTGGGGTGACCCCCAGCAAGGGACTTGCCTCGACCCACCCTCAGGAGAGGCGAAGATTTGTAGGAGTTCAGCATAGGCAAACCCCCGCTGGACAAACCCCCCGGGAGCCTCGCTGGACATAACCCCGGGTCCCCAGAGGGATTTGTAAAGGTGGTGGACCACAGACACCTGCTTGGGCAGTGGAATGCTCTGGGCCCTCCTCCTACCCCCGGAGCAAGGACAAAGGGAGACCCCAGAGGTTGGCGTGAGGTGTGTGCATTTGTGCTGGGGGGCATCCAGGCCCTCGTCTGCCCTCCCCAGCTGGGCCCCAGCCTCCCTCACCCACAAAGGACACGAAGCTGGTCTTGTCGATGAGGATCCAGATCCCGAAGCAGAAAATGAGGCTGCCTAGGACCTGGGGAGGGGAGAGGAGAGGAAAGGTGGGTGGGCCGGGGCCTGGGGCTGCAGCGCGCGGGCTGGGCTGGGGCTGGGGCCTGGGGCTGGGGCTGGGGCTGGGGCTGGGGCTGGGCTAGGGCTGCGTCAACTCACAAAGAAGAAGAGGTTGAAGACGAAGAGGAAGTATTTGATGAGGCTGAGGCAGCTCTCCTGGGCCGACATCTGGAGGAGTGAGCAACCGGCTCGAAGGACCAGACGGGAGCGGTGGTAGTCAAGTGGGGGAGATGGGCAGGAAGACAGGAGGGGAAGAGAGAGGCAGAGAGAGAAAGAGAGAGAGAGAAAGATGGGGTAGCGGAGAGCAGGGCTGAGCACAGAAAGAGGAAGTGCCAGGGCTGGGCTCCACCCCCTCTTGCTGCACATGAGAGACCGTGGCCGTGGTGGTGGCGGCTGTGTCAGGCCCCTCACCTGGCCCAGCCCAGTACCTGAGGGGTCTTGGAGGTGGTGGGCATCAGGGACACGGGGGGTAGGCCTTCCTCCTGGGTCTCCATGCTCAGGCCCAGGGTGGGGGTGTTCCCCAGGGGGCCACAGAAGCTCCTTGCACGCTCCCCTCTGGGAGCCAGCTCAGGCCTGGCCCTGGCCAGCAGCAGGCCAGCCGACCTCACAGACACTCTGACCTCATGGCCTGGTGGGGACTGCCAGCATCCCTGCCTGGGACTCTGTCCCCCTCCTTCAGCCCTTCGGCCTGCCCTGGGGCTCCTTCCCTCTCCCCAGTCCTGTCTGCTTGGCCTGGGACTCCGTGGGCCTCCTGCCCAGATCTCTCTCTTCCCTTCCCCGCTTGCCTACATCTGTATCCTGTTGAAACTTAGGGTGCTCCGTCGGGAGAGGGGTGGGGGTGGGCAGGGGCTGGGCACTTGCGGGAAGTGAAAGTGCTGCAGGCCAGAGGTGGGAAGGTCCCTGGGTGGGGGGCGGGGTGGGCATCTGGGTGGTGTCAGTGCCCCCAGCGGAAGCCAAACTCAGGCAGAACTTCCTGCCTCTGGTGGGGCCGGGGAGGAGGCCCCACAGGAGCCAGGATCGAGCCTTGGCTGTCGCATCAGGGGCTTGGGGGGGATTCTTAACTCTGAGCCTCCCCCTGATGTCCCTGTAAGCCCCCCTCCCTAGCTTTGTCTTGGGTCTCTCACAGTTTCTTGCTGGAAGGGGTCTTCCTAGCACATGGTCATTTACCTGGAACTCTTCCCACCCCCTGAGAACTCCTATTTTATCTCTTGAGCTCCAGCCGCTGATCTCTGAAAGTCCCCTGGGATTCTAACCTCACCCCGTGTGACACAGAGTTTAGCGGCTGCCCCAGACACCGCCTCTCCTTGGTCGCCCCATCCGAGACAGCCAGAGAGGAGCCAGGAATTTAATCTGGGTCTCCCAACCGGGCCATCTTTGGCTGCATTCCCAGGAGTGTTTGCAAGGAACTAGATGGGAACTTGGAGCAGCCGGGGCTCAAACCAGCTCTGAGTGGCTGCCGTGTCTCAGGCAGCAGCTTACCCCGCTGGGCCACACACCTTTTGAGCAGATTATGATTAAAGACCTCGACGTGACATCACCTGGATCCCCGGGGTGGGTGCTCGAGCCTCAAAGACAGATTAGCAGCCCCACGAAGACAGACGGTGGGGAGTCCCCGCAGGTGTCGGGCCACCAGCAACTGGCAAGGTCCAGGCAGATTCTGCCCTAGATGGCAAAGGGGAGCAGCCTGGCTGGCACCCTGACCTTGGCCTCCAGCCTCTGGGACCGTGAGAAAATACGTCTGCGTTTGAAGTCACCCAGTTTGTGACTTGAGCACAGCACGTCTAACCACAAGTGAGAAACACTGCTGGTTGGGCCTGGCCATCTGCATTTCCGGAAGCTCTGGCCTGGTAGGGCCTGCTTCCTGTACTGGCCGCTAAGACGTCACGGTCTGTCTGTCGGGTCTGGCTGCCAGTCTCCAGTAGCCGCACCCCCAGCCTGCCCTTTGAACCTTTTGTTTTGTTTTTGGTTGCCCTTTGAACTTATAAAGGGCTTCCCCTCCAACCTCACTCCCTAGGTGACCTGCATCACCCCAAGGCATTTGGCCCTGACTGCAGGCTGGCCCCCCAGCATACCCCTCTCCTCCCCACACACTCCCATTTTCCTCTCAACATCAGCCTATTTCTCATTGCTTTAACAGACAAAGCACTTGACAAAGAAAAGGGCACTTGACAAAGAAAAGGTCTGCTTAAATTTACTGTTGTGGGGTGAGGGTCAGTGGGGCTGAGTGTTCCCAGGTTGGGCCACACTATAGCTGGGGCTTGTGCTGAGGGTCCCACGGCTGCATCAGCAGGTGTTGGGCAGCACCCACGGGTGGTGGGAGTGTGTGTGAGGGGGCAGTCTTAGTCTTTTAGAACCAACTTACTCCCTGAGAGATGAGTCAGTCTCCACAGAGGCCAATGCCTTCAGCGACCTAGTTCACCCTGTGCAAGGCCCACCCCCATATATATATATTTAATTTCAAAGGCAGAGTTAGAGAAAAAAGGAGCAACAGAATCCATGCGGGTGCAGGGTCCCAAAGCTCTGGACCATCCTCCACTGCCCTCCCAGCCACAAGCAGGGAGCTAGAAGGGAGTTGGAAGGGAAGCAGGGCTGCTGGGACACGAACCCATGGCCATATGAGATCCCGGCACATGCAAGGTGAGGACTTTTAGCCACTAGGCTACAGCGCAGGGCAATGTTACATTTCCTACAGGGTACAGGTTGCGTGGACAGTGCGTGGACATGGCGTTTCTCGAGGCTGCTGGATGGACAGCCTTGCCCCATGATGGTGCTGGTGGGCAGCAGGCTTTCTCTGTGGCCTGGCCCAGTTTCCCCTTTAGAACCGCCCGGCGCCTGCTGCGGTCATGCTCCTGAGGGGTCATGGCCTCCCTCTCCAGGCTCGCCAAGCCGCCAACCTGTGGCCACCAAACTCAATATTTGAGGGTTTAAACATTTGCATGAGTTTTGGGAGCCAGTGTCATTTAAACCACAGCAGGGGAGTTAGGCCTTATCTCTCTGCAGGTTCAAGGATTTTTAAAACCGCCACGCAGTCTACCAAGCGACCACTTTGACTCTACTGTTTGGTTTTTAAAAGATGTATATTTTAATTGGAGCAGCGCAGAGGCGCTCGTGCGCACGCGCAGGCGGGGAGAAGGGCGTGGCGCTCTCGGCTCCCACGTCACGAGGGAGGTGACGGCGCCTGCGCAGAAAAACGGTGGGAAAAGTCAGGCTGGAGCGTCGCCCGGAGGGGCCTGACCGCTCGCTGAGGCCTGACCGCTGACCGGGTGTGGCAGGAGGGTGAGTCCCTGGGAAACCGGCCCCCAGACGCTCTCCCGCCGTGAGGGCCAGCGCACCGGGCCTGGTCTTGACCGGCAGACCTGCCCCTCGGGGGTGACCCCTTGGAGGTGGCCGTCAGCCCTGTCCCCTGCGGGTGGCCCTGAACCCTGTCCCTTGCAGGTGGCCATCAGCCCTGCCCCCTTGGGGTTGGCCGTCAGCCCTGTACCTTGAGGGTGGCCCCTTGGGGGTGGCCGTCACCCAGTGTCCCCTATGGGTGGCCATCAGCCCTGCCCCCTTGGGGTTGGCCGTCACCCCTGTCCCCTGCGGGTGGCCCCTTGGGGGTGGCCGTCACCCAGTGTCCCCTATAGGTGGCCATCAGCCCTGCCCCCTTGGGGTTGGCCGTCACCCCTGTCCCCTGCGGGTGGCCCCTTGGGGGTGGCCGTCACCCAGTGTCCCCTATAGGTGGCCGTCAGCCCTGCCCCCTGTGGGACCCTGTCGGGCTCTCTCATTCACATCAAGGAACCAGGACATAAGGTGCTACTGGCAGGAGAGGGGCAGTGTATCCAAGACAGGTGAATTTATTTGTTATTTTTGTTTCCTGTCTGCAGTCCCTGAGGAAGCAAGGAAAACAGAATCCAAACACAGCTGGGATGGCCACGCTGTTCGGTGGTCTTGGGCTCTCGGTCACGCTCTCTCCTTTAGCGTTTGGGACACTGTTTAGGTCTAGGTACTCCATCGTGGTTTCTTTGCATCTTCTTTATAACGTTTTGAATTATGAAATAGATGATATCAAGAAAAGTGCCTGGAACACTTGGAGAGTTTGAATCCTTTGAAATCTTATGTCTGAGTAATTGCCAGCTGGATCAAGGAATGATCTTGCTTCTAGAAGAATCCAGAACCAGATAGTTCACTACCTAGGCCATCGTGCCTTCTAGAAGTTCTTTTTAGGTGAACTTTTGTGGTGGTCATTTCTTGGTTTCTCTTTATACTCCTACTGTCTGTGCTTCCCTAAGCTTTCTTTGTGCTTGCTTTTGGAAGGCTGTATCATTTACTTATTTGAAAGGTGTACGCATACACATAGGCACACACGCACCACCGTGAACTGTCTCCCCCCTGCTGGAGTTCCCAGGCACCCACGGGGGCTGTTGCTGGGTGCCAGGCACGGGAAGCTCTCAGCACCGCCTTCCTGGGTCTGCCCTGGTGGAAAGCTGCAGGCGGCAGCCAGGGCTGGGAGTTGAAGCGGGTGTGAGATGGGCCAGACCACAACATCCATCAGCATACACAAAGGCCGACACTGGGGGGCAAACTGCAGGGTGAGGGCCTAGGACCCAATGGCTCGCCTGAGATGTGGCTTTAGGAGTGGGCCTGGGGAGGAACTTGGGGAACTCCCCTTGTGGGTCATAGCTCCTCCTGGTGAGCATGCCAGTCAGGGCTGGGTGTTGGTCATGCCAGGCAGGGCTGCTTCACTTGTCAGCAGGTAACAGGTGTGCGGGTTGGCTCTGAGGTGGACGGACTCAGCAGGACCAGGCCAAACCATAGCACACTGGCAAGCGTGGGAACCAGGATGGTGTGTGGGCCATACAGGGCTAGGCTAGGTTATCATACCTACCTGCGAGGGATGGGACAGGCTGGGCAGGGCTAGGCTGCAGCACCCACCAGCGAGCTGGGACTAAGGGGCAGGGCTGCAACATCTGATGGCAAAGGCTAAGCTAGGTGATGGGCTATGCCAGGCTGGATTGGAGCAGCCACTTGCGTGCACAGTATCTGCAGCTGGGAGCTGGGGTTCTTGGTTCTTGCACTCCCCTATCAGATCTTCCATTGGCAGATCCCACACACACCAGTGGGTTCTTGGCCCTGCCTGATTTTGCCCAGCTCCTGTCCTAACAGGAGCAGCAGCCAAGTCCAAAGGGCCCACACTCACTCCAGCTTGTACTGTTGGGTGCATCTGAATTATACAGCCCAGCTCTGCCTACTCCACCCCTGGTCCTAGCTCTTGCATGGTTCAGTGGGTACAGAGACCTAGTCCAGCCTGTTCTACATCTACTCTGGCTCTCATGAGCACCAGGAGGTGCTGCAG